AGAAGATTTCACAAGTATTAACTTTCTGAAACTTCAATATCAGTTGCAGTAAATAATCCTCATAGATTTAAGCAAATGATAGAGGTAGAATATGTTTATATAATTTAGAAAAAAAGCAGTTTGGAAGTTTATATATAAATTTGGATAATTGAGTAACCTGCTACTATATTACAGCATGAACTCTCAAGAAAGAATTATCTATAAACTTAATTAGGAAGAGTTACATAGTGTAATATTTAGTCTTTAAATTCATACAATATTTTGACTTCTCTAAAATAAAAAAATAAGTCTCTAACTCTATGCATATATGTTTGACTATTATATGAGTATAAAAATCTTCTATGATCAGTTAAATAATTGCTAATCAGAGTTTGAAACTGCTTTCATTATCTGTGGATGGAGATGATTAAAGAGATTATGTGTGATCAGACTTTATTTTAATAAATTTGTGTGTGTCTGTGTAGCTCTGTGTGTTTTTGTGTGTGTGACTGTTTAGATGATGACGCACTGGAGGTTACTACTGTTTATACCAGAAAGCAGATCATTGATTTTCAAGGGCATTTTACATCTTTTAAATTTATCCATAAAATTATCTATTTATATAAAGAGAAATTTATAAATCTGCCCTCCATAAAAGGCAAGTCAATATATAACAATTAATAACTTGATACATGCACCTACAAACAATTCTTAAGCTCTTGTAGCAGAGCTTCAGAAGTGAAAATGTTTATTAATTCTACTTTCCTTTCTACACGCATCGTAAGATTTTAAATTTTAAAAATTCTGATAAAGATTTCTAATATATAAATTTCAAACTATAAAGCCAAGGTAAACGATCAAACAATATTAAAACAAATTTGAAATTTTAACTCAGTTACTTAAGGGATATTATTGTGGAGAATAATAGAATCAACAAAAACGTTGGGAGAAGGATATATTTTTACTGAGTCATACAATGATCAGGAATTTAAAAAAGAAAAACAAAAGAACATCACTGAGAACTTTATTATTAAATTAACAGTTTGTTGGCAGCTCCACACATGTTCTCCTCACGCCTAGGTGCTGTCCATACCAGTGCAGTGGCAGAAGGGTCTCCTAAGAGTTGTTCAAGCTGATAGAGAAGTTAAGCACAAAACCTAAGGAAATCTGCTGCTTAAATAGGATTATATATTTCTCTCATGAAACTCTAAGTTTTATATGGCGCACTGACACAGAAATTAAGATTCCCTATGACCTTGCCTAACTTACTCCTTGCTTGTGTGGCATTTTGACAAATAAGAAAACAGTATGTAAAAATGATCGGTAGAATTTTCCAGGCACTCCATAAAACTTTTTAACATAAGCTGAGACTGTATTATGGTTTAAGAATGTAACTAAATCAGATTAACAATAACAGTAATTGGAGGCCCATGTATGTTTTCTCATATTTAATCAAAACTGTATTGCCAGTGTCCTTTGTAAATATGAAAAAAAAAATCAATTATCCCAAATAACTGTATAACTTTGAAGTAGGCTAAATTTGAAATATAATGACCAGCAAGAATTTGTTAAGTTTAAGTGATTTAAAATTACTGCTTTAATAAGTTGAATCTGAATGATATATGTTAATTGTAGCATACATTCTACAGGTGTCTTGTAAATAAATCCCCCTTTAACAAAACAAGAATAAATTTATTTATAAGGATCTGAAAATTAAGAAGTAGATAAAGGAAGGGAAAAAACAATATTACCTTTTACCTTTCTTTATCAATTTCTTAAATTTTAGATCCTGATAAAAATCTTTTTTTTTTTCAGTACCAGGGATTGAACTCAGAACCCTGCACTTGCTGGGCAGGCTCTTATTCTACGATGCTATCTCCCTGGCCTTAAAAATCTTTATATATATATTATAGGGGATTATAACCTATAACATAGGTTATAGACATATAAAGATATGTGCAATATATAAATATATATATATACAAGATATGTATAGATTTATATTCTATATATATATGTGATAGTTAAGGTAGTTATAATTCTAGTTTCTTTTAGTTCATTGAAAAGGTTTGTGTTAATGTTGTTTTGACAATATTTTAAGCCTATGACTTGTACTCTGAATAACTACTTTAAAGATAACAACACACAATGTATTACTTACTGTTATCCTCTTATACCCTTTGTTTTTAAAATGTATTTTAGTACAGGATCCACATGATCTCGCTATCACAGATCAGACTCGTAGTGACCCTCCTGTTTTCAGCCTCCCAAGCAACAAGATTACAGGTGTGCACCACAATGCCCAGTCTCATTCACCCTCCCAGTGTGCCCTGCGGGTGGTGCCAACACAGCATGCCGGGGTGGAGTTTGAACCCCTGCCACTGTGTATGCCTAAGCAGGAACTTTAATTCACTGAGCCAGCAGACTGCCCCTTATTACCTTGTTTTCATATTTTGTTTTTTTTCTTTTCCAAATAAAAAATAACTAAATAAAAATTTAAAACTTGAGAAGTCCCCTTGACCCAGAAGATTTAGTTTTTCTGTTATATGCAAAACGGTGAATATTAATGTTATTTTCTTCTTACACGTAACACAATTCATATCAGTAATTTAAGAAAGAACAGTGTTGCATACCATATGATAATCTCAGTATTAATAAATAATGCTTTAATACTAAAAATAAGTTAATCATTTTATTAAATCAATAAGATTAACAACTACTATTTATTATTAAGCATCCTGCTTAATGAAAATTATACAAATGATCATTAACATTATTAGAAAGGATGCTATTAACCATCACAATTTGTCAATGAATTAATATGTACAAATTAACACTGGTACAATTCAAGCTGCATTTTAGTATCATAAAGTCTTTTTTATTTTTACACTAATCTGCACAAGTGT